CTGTTGTTGCTGCTGCTGCTGCTTCCCTGTCTGTTCGTGTTGGGAAAAAGAACAAAGGTCTGCTGGCAGTTTTATTATTATTATTTATAATAATTATTAATTATTTATTATTTATTTTTATCATTTATTATTTATTATTTATTGTTATTATTTGTTATTTATTATTTATTATTTATTATTTGTTAATAATAAATGCCCTTCTCTCAATTCTGTTTGTGCTTATATTTATTTTTATATTTGCATCTATATTTAGATTTATAATTATAATTATAATTTATAAATATAAATATATTTATATTTATAATTAAATATATAATTCTAATTAAATTTATAATTATAATTATTATTATATTTCACCTCTTCTTTTAAAGAATCCAAATCGCCGCAAATGCATGCGGGCCACTGAAGTGTACGTACACCTGAAGCCGCTGCGCCCGCCCCACAGTCTTCTGCGGCGCGCCCGCGCTGCTGCTGCTGCTGCAGCTGTAGCTGCTGCTGCTGCTGCTGCTGCTCGTAAATGTGCCGCAGGTGGTTAGCAGCACCATCTGCTGCTAAGACAAGAGAGGCTTGCTGCAGCAGCGCCTTAAAGTAAGGAGGCAGCGGCCTGTTTAGCACCAGCAGCACAACACGCCCAGCCTCTGCTGCAGCAGCAGCTGGTGCTGCTGCTGCTGCTGCTGCTTCTGCTGTTGCTGCTGCTGCGGCTGGAGCAGGAGGAACTGCCTTCCATTTGGCGCTGCCGGGGCGCAGCGCTTCCAGAAAACGCAAATCGAGAATATGCGTGGGCCCGCTGCTGCTGCTGCTGCTGCTGCTGTGGCTCCGTCTTTGCTGAGCAGCAGCAGGTGGCTTCAACGCAGCTGCTGCGCTGCAGCAGCCTTGGGGCTTGCATGCAGAGGCCCTTGGGGCTCGGAGCGCATGCATTGCATGCAGCTGAGGCCTAAAAGGAAAAACAAAAGCGCCCCTGGCAGCAGGCAGCATTTGGGGGGCCCCTAGGGAATAAGGGCGTCTGGCGGGGGCTGCTGCAGCGCGAGGTGTACAGACACCCGAGAGCAGCAGCAGCGGCAAACGGCGAGGCTGCCTGTGGTCAGAGGGAGCCCCGAAAGAA